GTTTTGCAAGTCTGAGCACACCCCCGTTCTTCACGTTTTGTGAATTAACTTCCTCTCCTGCTGACAGGACCAAGCTGTAACAAGCTGGCAGCCCAGAGGGAGCCGCCCCCGCAGCCCTGCACCGCTTTCAAGCCTGTGGTTTCAGCTCAGAAACATTCACGATCAATTTTGCAGCAGCTTCGAATGACAAACACAGGGCTGGGAGGGCCCTGGAATGGTCACCTAGGCCAGTTCCTGTGCTAAGGCAGGGCCCAGTAAATCTTATGGGGAGATCAACTGAGTCTCCCTGTTTCCATGAGCCGTAACCACCTAACAGCTAAGGGAACGGTGCCCCCTGCTGGCAAGCTTTGAGATTCTGTGGCCTGCACTGTGCAGGGGGTCAGACTAGATGATCATAATGGTCCCTTCTGACCTTAAAGTCTATGAATCAGCTGCAGTGACCTCAGAGCCAGAAAGCCTGGTTGTGCACCACAGTTCAAAGTATCACTGGTAAAGGCTAAGAAAACACAGAGCAGCAGCTCTCAGACTGGTCCCGACCACTGCTTGTCCACAGGAGTATCTTCTGGAGCCGGCACAGGAAGGCAGCAAGAAGCAAGTGGGGCTAACTGATGGCAGAGGGGGGCAGGCGCGTGGTCATGGAAGCGGGGTGCTCACACCACACTAAGGCCCAGCGCACGCGGCAAACGCAGATTCAGAACTTTGGGAGTAGAACAAGGGCATCCAACATGGAGCGGGAAGAGAAAGGGGGCCTGGAGGAGAAGGGTCATGGGGGTACAGGCTGCAGGGGCTGTCAGGAAAGGCCAGCAGCAGGCAGGCGGTGAAAGCAGGTGGCTACAGCATGCACACAAGTCACGGCCTGTGTGCGCAGCACCGACATCTACTCCACACACTCACAGGCCGGCCTGGAACGGTTCGCTCAGCTTGGCTTAGACAAGCCCCTTGGTGTTCCTGTAACTGCCTGCAGCGACGCTTGGGCTCGGATTTAGACGCATGCCCACGCATGGGGCGCGCTGGGACTGCACACGCAAGCAGCCAGCTGGGCCCTTTGCACATGCAGGTTCTACGTTTTGAAGCTGGGTCCCCATGCCTGGCTGGGCACCTTCGGGATTTTAATCATGGCATAAGCAGTGAAATCAAGCATCTGCTTTCTGTAAAAGGGCCACCAAACCAGTAACATGCACCAGGAACTGCCTTTCAACTAGGCACAGGAAAGGTTAACTGGTAAACATTACCCATACCAGGTGCTGCTTACTGGTCATGCTTAACCAGTAGGGGCTGGTCCAGCCTGGCTCCAGTGGGCGAGGGGAGGCACCAGGGCTGGACATGCTTTCCCCCGCCCCCGATCAATTGCTTAACTGGTCAAACATTATGTTTAACATTTAACATTTCGGCTACGTCTAGACTGGCATGATTTTCCGCAAATGCTTTTAACGGAAAAGTTTTCCCTTAAAAGCATTTGCAGAAAAGAGCGTCTAGATTGGCACGGATGCTTTTCCGCACAAGCACTTTTTGCGGAAAAGCGTCCGTGCCAATCTAGACGCGGTTTTGCGCAAAAAAGCCCCGATCGCCATTTTAGCCATTGGGCCTTTTTTGCACAAAACAGTCCTGTGCTGTCTACAGGGGCCCTCTTGAGCAAATGATTTGCGCAAGAGGGCTTTTGCCCGAACGGAAGCAGCATAGTATTTCCGCAAGAAGCACTGATTTCAGACAGTAGGAATTCAGTGTTCTTGCAGAAATTCAAGCAGCCAGTGTAGACAGCTGGCAAGTTTCAACTCACCCTTGTAGTTTCAACTCGCCCTGGTGCAGGCCTACTGTACACAGGTACCAGCTAAAAGAAATCCGGTGTGGCCGGCTACCGATCCCCCTCGAGCTAGTTGCTGTTTACACACAAAGAGCGGAGCATGAAATCTGGCTGGACGCAGGGTTTTGGCAGTGGCCAAAGTGGCTGTTTGTTGGTATGAATCTGGGGGAAAACTGACCACATCTGGCAGAAGCCAACGGGCAGCCCCCCCCCCATTCTCCCAGCG